TCTTTGAGTAGAAATCACCAGAACAATTTTGGTGAACCAAAAACCAGCGTCAGAATTTTATGGTGGATGTGGCAAAACAAACCAACCAAACATACTCTTGTTTACTGATGGGCATCTAAATTGCTTACTATCCAATAAAGAAGGGTATTTTACATTTGGACTATATGAGCAAACCAAAAAATTCAATTGGAATCATCTAAGAGCAAGAGCCGCACTAACTTAGTTGCCAATCCTTTGCTCTATTACAGAAATTGTAATAATAATATATAATGCAGAGATGTTGGAACTATTTAGGCTGCCATCTATCGAAAAGACTAATATTAAGTCTCATTGGCATTAAAGACGATTTTGTTCTGATTGCTTTTCAAAAAGTTAAAAAAAAATATTTGCCAACCTAATATAATAATTTATTTTCATATCAACATCAACTGCTAATGTAAGGGTAAAATGTAAAAATAAACAGCAATATGTTTCAATTACCAAATTAATTTCTTCCCATCAATTTTCAAATTAACATCACCCAATTTATGAATTATATGAAATGCTAACAGAGTCGTTTTTTCCATTTGGTTTAATGTTCTGGCTAAATTACAAAATGACTAACGTGCGAACGACCATGTCTAATAAATCTAACCCCGTTTCCGAATGCAGAGAGCGGCCGGCGGGTTCAATGTAACGTTTTGCGGAAAATTGGATCATTAAGGCCAAACAAAAATGAACGACATCAGGACACAGACCAATGAGACAAAGAATAAAATTATACGTGTTTAAAATAAAAATAAAATGCAGCGTGATTAAAAGGATACTGCAAAGAAAAACTATAAAATTTAAATGAACTAACTGTGAGTAGCATTTTGCCTTAAGGGGCACAACTAGTGTAACCGCCTAAAAAAAGGTGATGCTTGGGAATTTATATTAAAGAAAACTACTTTATCAATCATTTCAAAATTTTAGAAATATATTTATACATGCTTTAAGAATACATTGTAGAAATTTCAAATTTTCAAATTTCAACCCTTATTTTTGTGTCTCCAGTATCCGAAAATTGTATGTGCCTTTTTTGACTTTTTTACCCATACAAATCGACTCGCTCAAATGTTTATGCTTTCTTCATAATTACTAATGTACCAATTATAAATAAATTATCATTCGACGGTTAATTAATATTTATCTAAAAATAATATTTGCAAAAATAAAATTGGAATGCAAGCTATCTTTCCACATTCACATGATGTTTATACAACATCGTTTCCTGCGCTTTGTTACTCATCGCAAATTCTGATAATTTAAGACTTTTTATATGCAAAAACAAATTACTCATACTAATATTAGCACAATTATTTGTTTACGTGCTCTGTTTAATCTCTTTGCAATTGTTTATGCATGGATTTCTTAGAAATTCTCATGGAAAACGTTGGATAAACTTCCTAAAATCTTCGAAAAAACTATTTGTTTTATGAATAATTCACATCAAATCAAAAATCAAATAAGCTGCAACATTCTCTAACACGAAAAGACTACAATCTCGGTATATTTATAAAAAATAGACAATAAAAAACATGAGTAATTTCAAATTATATTCGTATATTGTACCCGATAAAAAAAAGATATCTGTATTCTTCAATAAAAATTGTAAAATTAATTATTGCAATAATGTGGGCCCAAAATAAATACTTTTAACAGAATTAGATAAAAAATGCACTGTTATAAAATAATACAGTTAATGATATTTTATAGTGGATATAGGCTAAACATATATACAAGATCTAAGGGCTTATTGTAACAGGGGTAAGTAGTAACAGCCAATTTTCAGTTTAATATTAAGAGATACTAAATTTTTTCTCGATTGAACCTGTAATAATATTGTCATAGCTACCGTCGATGCAGTAAACAGAACTGTGCAGGTGCATCATTTTTGACATATATAAATTGTAATATCAGAAAATTTCAATTTGCTTCAATATTATCGACTAATTTTAACCCTTTTCACTCCGGCGATAAAATACATATTGATTTTGCAACTCGCGAGTGGAACGGGTTAAATTTTATATTCTAATTTATATTTAATCTAATAAATAATTGTGCTAAATTTATATTGGTTAAAATTTATCAATCTTTGATAATGTATAACAATTTTTGTGATTGCTAAATTGTTTAAATAATTATCTTGATTAATATAAAAAAATCACACCTGGGGCTAGTTGAAACATGCAAGAATGGTATTGTATGGTATGTGGGGATAAGTCTAATATGATTCAAATGAAAATTTCGTGAAATAGTTTTATTTCAGCATAATTTGTATTTTGGTGGTATAGTTTGTAAGATGTGGGCATATAAAATGTTCATAGGAAACACTATATGTGTATTTTATTAGTATTTGCAGTTTACGTTGATTTATGAAAAGAATTACCGTTCTTTGAATAAGTAAAGAATAAATTCCCAGAGATATTATTGACGTTTTATGTCGTTGCTACTTGCCCCGGTAGATGGTAATGAACAATAGTATTAATAGTAGCATCTATCCATATTTATTTTATAAAAATATATTCAGTGGATCTCAAGATATTTTAATTTTTAAAAAAACTGATACAACAAGCCCCTAGCCCCTTATACTTATACATATACATATATATATAAATATATAAACATGTACATATACACGAAAAAAAGTTTCAACAGCCCATTCTTCGAAACAAAAAAATAATTTAAAAAAAAATCCTTTATTATACGTTTCGATACTTGATGTGTGTCATCATTCAGTAATATAGACATATAAATAAGTAATTGAGTACAAAAATATAAAATTAAAAATTTTGTATAAAAATATAAATAACAAAATTTTTTTGTCGGAACGTGGAATAAAGAAAATTATATATATATATATATATATATATATATATATATATATGTGTGTGTGTGTGTGTGTGTGTGTGTGTGTGTGTGTGTGTGTGTAGGTATGTATCTAATTTGCAACCGATTGCAAAGCCAGGTTTCCACGAACTGATGTGCGATATTATAAATATTAGCCAAATTGATAAGATATGAAATTGATATTGATTAAATGTACCTATGTATTAGATAACCTACTAAAATTATTTTTATACATATATTGTTGTTATGCAAGGTTGTATATGTAAATAAAATATAATACTTTACTTGATCCGTCGGTTCAACGATTAAAAAATGATGAAGTCATAAAAACAATAAAATTGTTACATTTATAACCGGATAATAAAATCCAATAGTAATTTTCTAAATTACGTCATATATGTATTACAGATCATATAGCTTTTCGACGTAGTCGAGGTTTGTTTAGAGACTACAAAAAGTTCTAGTGTAAATATTGGTCCTTCTCATTAGTTTTCTTTTGTGTTTTGTTTACTAAACGTTATGTACATTGAAACAACACCAGTTAGATCATGTATATAAGGCAATTTCAAACTCTAAAAAATTCCTTTCTTAGAAAAGATACCAAAATTCGAAGGCAGTAACCATACAAGAGGCAAAAAATGCGGAAAAAACTTATAGTTCCAATTTTTTGATAGAAAAGTTGATCCAATCTGAATCAAATGAGACCAAATTTGGAAAAAAGTATGTTTGCAGTCTGTATGTATGACCCAATTTTTCATCTTTCTACAAATCTTGATGGGGAGCCCACAGAAATAGGAACAAAAGTACCAATAATATCTGATAATTAGAAGTGCATATGTCTAATAATCATTTATTCACCACCAAATAGCATTTTTTGTTACATTTTTCAAGGGATCTACGAAACCGCTTTACAAAATTTAATCATTTTTTTATTCCATCAGTACAAGTGAAATGTTTTTTCAATCATTCAAATCGGACACTCCGTTGTCTCAAAAACTGAATTGCCACTTTTCGCACTTTTTGCTAGTGTCTCTGAAGCAACTGGACCTGCCTTTGCAAAAACCTAATCTGCACGTCTCTTCCCATAAATGGGAATCGAATGTGTTTTGAATCATTCAAATCGGTTGATCCGTGCTCTCGAAATCGTGGACCACAAATTGTTTCCTAACATGCATACACACACACTCGACACATACATTTTAAGGCATGCCAACATGTTTAAAAGCCTTGAAATGTGAAAAGATGCAAAAAATATCATTTTCCATTGTTTGCGATTAATATAACTTACCCCTTACTACGAGGGGTTAATAATTTCAACCGAGTTCTAATTTTGTGATAAAATTCTATTAATAAAATGCAATTAAATAAGTTCTATATGATTTATTATATTACAACAATTATTATCTGCCTCTTACGCAAGGTAAAATAAAGCATTATCAATAGCAGATAACACGACGTGACGAGTTCTCAGAAATTCTTACTTTTATGACACCTAATGAATTTAAAATAAAACATGACATAACTCACAGGTAAAATCCAGGTGTTTTTGCTAAAAATTTTCGAAAATTGGAAGATCATACAAAATTTATAGTCGCCCAACTTCTTGAGACACCATTTTCAAGAAGATTGAAAAAATATAATTAATATTCAATTGGAGAAATGTAACAGAATTAGTGAATGGGCTGGCCCGTAGGTAAGCGGTTAAGAGCGACGAGACTTGTTTCAGAGGTCCCGGGTTCGATTTTCACTTGAAAATATAGATAGTAATATGTTTCCAAGTGAAAATAGCCCTCACCGGGCATTGCTGCACCAATAAAATGTCAGCCTTATTAGATTAATTCTAATAACAAAATCATCAAATATGGATGGATGATAACCATCTAAAAAAAAAAAAATACGAAGGAAGGAGAAGTTTCAGCCCACCAGCTCATAGAACGTAAGGTTCTGATTGCTGTTCAAAAATAATTAAAAAAAAAAAAAGAATTGGTGAATCATTCCTTGGAGTGACAACTATTGATATTAAAATCTAGGACAATAATATGTGTGTTTATAACAACCAAATAGCTCATATAATATAAAATAAAAATGTTTAAAAAATGTATGATTCTAATTAGATTCCTATGACTGACCTGTTGCCAATGATCCTCCAACGAAGTCTGCGACGGGAAGCATCCAGTGTCCTGGATGTCCTGAAGCTCCCGAAAGATATCCCCGCTCGGCAGTATATCCATTTTTGTGTAAAAATACCAACAATTCAAATTAAAAACCAAACACCATCAATTATATCACGAAAAAATTGAAAACTCAGTTGCTCACACTGTTTCCATTACAATCACAGAACAAACACACACCATAATAATATATAACTGTGAACTAAAACTTGTATTTAAAACATGAGTTATGGATCACTAACTTAAAAACACGAATTTGATATTGGTTTATTGAAAGAGCACGTGCTCGTGACGATGCAAGTGTGCATCCATGAACAGACAGTGAATTCCAATTGGGTATATTGCTGTTCCAAAGCGAAGGCAACAATTAAAAACACATACTGAATACAACCAGGCATGGATGGAAAATATACTGTAACCTAGCAACGGGTGCTGTTATCAAAATTGGCCATAAGAAAAATCTACAAACACTTTGGATTTGAATTGATTATGATTTTGGTCAACAAACTGCACACACGCGGTCTGTTTTTATAAACAAACACGTATTTGGGTCCTTTAAGCCGCGAGCGTCGGGTCTACTCACGACCTAGGTCTCAACAGAACTGAAGCACTCGGAAAGGAATTCGAAATGCCGGTCCCCTACCACGGGCCCGGCGAAGATTGCGCGCGCATTGCCACGCTCGATAACAGACATACGTCCTAACGCTCTCTCGACTCCCACCGGGCGAAGTCGAAAGAGACACCTGTCCAATGTAGTTCCACGTCGGCCGGTGCTGGAATTCCATTCCTCCGTGTAGTAGACCTAAAAGAGACGGACTGCAAGTGTTGGTGAAGTGTGCGTGGACGTTGGAACGTGTGCGTGCGTGTACGTGGAGTGCATCAATGGGCCAAAGGATAATGCACTGTGTTTACATGCCAAGTAAAAATATACATGACTCGCTGCTCGCTGCTAAGCGCTAGTCAATGATTTACTCAAATTGTAGATGTACTCGTACTCGGCACTTACTCATTTAGGGTTAACTTACTATATACTAAAGTTATTGTAATCGCAAAAAAAGGAAATGAAAATTTTTGCATATCTTTACTTTTCAAACATGTTTCTGAATATGTTGGTATACTATACCAAAAATGGATGGATATTATGTATGAATGTATGAGAATATACGAATTTATATATGTATGTATGAATGAATGTATGAATTATGTATGTATGTATGTATGAATTATGTATGCATGTATGAATTATGTACGTATGTATGTAGGTAGGTAGCATTTGATTCCTATTGATAAGAAAACATGCTGATTAATTTTCGGCAGAGGTAGGTCCAGTTCTTTTGTAAATACGAACCAAGAAGTATAATAAATGACAATTCAATTTTTGAGAGCAAAATGATTCAAAAATCATTTTGCTAGCATTGACTGAATAATGATAAAGAATTAATGAGTAAATTTATGAAAAGGCAGGTTCAGTGATTTTTTAATAAATTTATAAATAAATTTATAACTTAAATTTTCATACATTTTAATCACATTTACTAACTCAATTTATTTAAAAAATGTATGTTTGTATGTGTTTGTGTGTGTGTGTATTCAAGTATGTATGTTTGGATGTTTTGTCTACTATTTCGGATCAACCAATTCGAATTGATAAGAAAACGAGCTGATTAATTTTTGGCAAGTTAAAGCCATAAAGACATTATTTAGATACGAGCCAAAAAGTGTAAAAAATGACAAATCGATTTTTGAGAGTACAAATCATCCGACTCATAGATAAGGAAATAGATCCGACTACAATAATTCACAAAACATATTATTTGTACTGACTGAACAAAGAATTGACTTTATGGAAATGCAGGATTTTATAAATGTTGATCACATTTACTACCTGAATCGAAGTTTTTTCTGTAACTCATATTTGCAAATATATAGGTTTAATTCGAGTTTATGTGAATGATGTTTTTTCTGATTCGATTCATTAAAATCACAATAATATCATGTATAATTATGTAACATTTGAAAACAATGAAAGATGCATTTATGACAATATTTTTCTGACGTTTGTACGTTTTCTAGGTTATATTTTCTATCTAAAACGCTTTACTGCACAGCAGATACCTAGCATCTTGACAGTTTTTAAAACCATTTTATATTGAAAAAAGCAGGCTGTGTTGCTATTACATTGGTCTATTTCACAACAAAATTGAACCATCAATTTCAAAGAGTTGACTGTAATGATATCAAACTTTACAAAAAAAAAAATACAATACTCACTTACCTAGTTATAAATGCAAAGGCCAAGAACAAATATTAATCCCACTTAACTATAAATATTAATCCAACTAAACTTCTAATTAACTGTCCTGGTTTCTCTGACAGGTCGAACATGCGGCTCGTCGACCCGATTGCATTGGCGCTCGGGTCGACACGCCGCGATGTAATTCCTGCAGAATGCAGGAACCAACTGAACTTAAGAGCTAAAAATTTGTCATAATCTCGACATCCATAGACAGTAGACAATGCCGTATTGCATAGATAAGAACCTACGTTGGTAAACAAATCATTTGAAGTTTGTAACAAACTGTCGATATAGTAGATACAACTGCCCTCTGGTTGGTGTACTTGACTTTACTTGCCATCTTTAATATTGTTTTGAAAATACTTTGACAAATGAGCTGACTATTTATTGTAAGCAAATAACAAGGGCGCGCAAAAGATCGCTCGAGCGATCAATGTTTTCATGAATGAATATTATGTAAATATCAAATAAATATCAGCAAAATTATTAATACCTAGCTTGCGAAATCGTTTGGATGGAATTTTATAAAAAAGTTAAAAGGTTTGGCATTTTAAGCTAATTTAATACATTTTATTTTTAAGGAGAAGTTAATGTTTTCGCGAAAATATCTGATTTGCTGATTTTATGTTTTCTCGACGATTCAAGTCATTTTGAATCGAATGAGACTAAAAAGTATGTGCATTTGTGTTTGATTTTTGACTTTTTATATATATTTTTTTAATTAATTTATGATTCACAATGTATTAATATTAAAAAATATAATATATAAATAATTTATTGTCCAGAATCTAAATATTTAGAAATAAAATATTAATGAATCTTAAGACAAATAATCAAAATAAAAATTAAAATGCGTTATGAGATATATTTACAAAAGTGAATCACAGTTAAATATTTCGACGGAGAAAGTACTACAAGAACTTGTTATGCAGATATATAAGACAAAAGAATTAAATTATAAAATATACATAAAAAATGGCATACAAAGTGATGCATTTATTTATCACATATATTATAACTTTAAAACTCAATAATCTATAATACTTCTTAGAAATATTCTAAATCATTAGGCATATTCTTGAATCAAATATGGTCTAATTAAAATTAGGGATTATTATTGCTAGAATGGTTCAGTTACCTAACTGTCTCATTATTTTGAAACTATTAGAAAAATAGACATAACGCAATTTTGAACAAAATACATTCAGTCAAAAATTTTAATAAAATTCTAATCTATTATAGTTTTTAGTGCCGCTTTTTACTAAACCTCTCCGATTTGAAAAACAGGCGTTTCAACAAACTATTCTTCCACAAAAAACCGTGAGTACATGACAAAAACTGTACATAATTGAGCATTCGTTTGTGAACAACAAGAGCTGTCGGGCTATAGCTAAAATAGCAGCCCTGGCTGTATCATTCGCAATGAGATTTTTCCGAACGCCGGGAATCCAATTTCCCACGAGTTTTCATGTGTCTGCACCCAGGATTTTTGGGACAAAAAAAGGTAAAGGGTGTTTAGGAAATATTTGTAAAGGGTGATAGTGGGGAAAAATAAAATAATTTGAAAGTTTGGATAAAAATATCATGAGAACAATATTTTTAACATGATCCAGAATTTTCTTTTGCATTTTTCAATTGCCACTTACGACTACACCGAGTTGTAGATCAATATTACATTAGGCAACATCATGGTTTATTTAATTTTATACGAATTTTTTAAATATACTATCTATATTAATAGAATGGTTTAAATTTTATGCATTTTTTAACAAACGTACCGCAATGAAACATTCGAGGACTAAAAATAATCAGTAATCAATAAAAATTAATCAGTGATTAATAACAATTGTTTTAAATATTAGGTTGGGAAAAAAAAAGTCCTTTTTGATGGGAAAAAGAAGTATTTTTTGGTAGATAGCTGTTCTGATAGATTTCTTGTGAAGTATCGATCAAACAATTTCAGATTTATGCTCATTGTAAAGGTGACATTTTGCAGTAAAAAAAATTAATTTTGTTTTTTGTTGGGTGCATTCAGTTGTGAGTTACAGGGTGTTAAAAATCGAAGTGAACAAAGAGAAAATTCGGTACATTTTCACAGGCAGGCTGGTCATCGAAAACCGTATTATTAGAAGTCCTTAGGAGATGTTACGTCTACGACCATAAAATGGTTTTAAACCAATAAACCAAAATTTTAAATCGAATAGGTTGTTTTGATGAATGACTTGTAAACATACTTATGTATGTTTACAAGAAATATAAACATATGAATGAATAGATCCTAGGACTTTATCTCATGTTTGTTATATGTTAGATAACGCATACAATAAATATATGCATTGCAGAACTGTCCAGCAGAGTCAAAATCCTAATCATTTTAATTTTTTTTTAAGTTTTTTGATTTTGGTCTATTGTTAGAATGTGAAGTGGATTATTTAATTTAGCACAAATTATACAAATGCATAATTCCTATTAATTTATATTCCCTGTCAGTCGAGGCTTTGCCTAATTAGTATCCAACCTGTTATCCTTTTCGGGGTCTTTAGGCCGTGCGAAAATTAAACCGAACCGACGTACGTTCGATATGGTTGTACGAATCCTCCTGCTGGCGCACAAATCCTTGCGCAGAAGCAGAAAGTCGGCGGAGTTCAATTGGGGAACACTCTGTTGAGGTGGAGGGTGTGGAGGGGTCAAGCTTTCTAGATCTGCGATGGCGCTACGTTGCTACGCTAAAATCGAGATGCAGACACTGGAGTAAATGATAATCGAAATAATAAAAAAAATAGTAGAGTATGGCATCGTGCCTTAAGGCAAATTTCTGGAACTTCTCGTACCGAAATACTATTTTTAATATAAATGTTTTTCGAATCATTCAAATCGGTTAATTCGTGTTCTCGGTATCGTCGACCAAAAATTGTATCCGCACATACATACACACACACATATATATATATATATATATATATATATATATATATATATGTACATACATATTCATACATACATACACACCCACACACACACACGTACATACACTATTTCTAATATGTGCCAAAATGTTCAGGAACCTTTGACACGTAAGGATATATAAAAAAATTCATTTGCAATTTTTTTGTGATTACACCAAACTATCAACATTTATTTAATGCTTCTAGCTAATTGGTTGTATGCGTAAGATTAAATAAATTGTAACAAAATATAAGGAATCTTAAGTTGGCATTAAATTTAAAATTTACCCGAAATTGCAAAACGACTTCTTCTCAAAGTATTCCAATTTAAGAATAAATTTTTATATTATT